GTGTGTGTGTGTGTGCGTGTGTGTTTGCTAATTATTATTGAAATATCAGTTTCTTTTTTTTTTGCATTTAATTATATTCTTCATTGAGTTTTTTTTTTAAGATTTTTTTAGTTATCAGTAGACAAATCTCTACTGCCGTATTTCATCAATAATTTTCTCACGATAGTCCCTGAAATTGATAATCGTATCGCCACTTGAAATATATGCCAGAGAGGAGATGGTTTCATTTTTGTATAGGGGCGTTCCCAGAAGCAGTGGCTGCGTTCCATGGTAAACATAATCCGTTTCCTTAAGGCAAATGGGTCGCTCTTTCGCCGAGAGTATAAACGGATTTACCATTTTAATCAGCACCAGAGGCTTGCTGGAAACACGCAAGGGAAATCATTCACATACCGCTATGTAAGGAATGTTGCTATACTCACAAGTAGCGGTTTATTAGGCTAATGTGGCGCACATCGTAGCCGTGCTCCCTATTCGAATTGAAGCTCGTTGAGTGATTGCCCATGATAATGGAATAATCTGTTGTGCTGTACATCCTCTGGAAGCAACTGCCCGCAGTTAGCACGTAGTATGGATCTATAATGGTGCCCAGGCACTGAAACTCATGTCTGTCATATCCCACGCGCCTAAATACGCTGACGACCCACGGATGCTCCTTGACTGTGTCAAACGTCCTGCCACAGTCGGGAACGCACTTGAGTTTTGGCGAATGTGCATTGCGCCTGCGCCAATTGCCGTTTGCCTTGCACTCGATTTCGCCCCGATCAATAGATCCGCTGGGTCTATAGCCCTGGGCACACCTCGTGATGGCAACGGTTGTGGGAGGGTGCAGCAATGCGGAGCAGTCGACGATCTCTTGCTGGTAAGTGCAGATGGCTTGGATGCTGCGATCATTTGTGATCGTGCTGCTCTTGCAGCCGTTGATGCACTCGGCCCAAGGCGCCTTCCACTCGCCGTTGTCGCAGGTGTTCACATCGCTGCCCTGCAGCAGAGATTTGTGGCCGCAGCTGAGCCGCACCGTCGTCTGGTGGGGCACGGTGCCGTCGCCCAAATATGGCAGACCATTGTAAATCGATTTTAGCCGCAAGTTGGAGCCGAACACCTTGCAGCTCTTCTCATCCGATGTCGGTGTCCGGACTGTAGTGGTGGTGGTGGTGGTGGTGGTGGTTGTAGCTAGCCTTGATATGGCCTCTTTTTGCCAAGGATATACGTACCACGGCTCGCCCGAGACCTTGCTGCATATGGAATATATCTCATCGGAGCCATCGCGACAGTCGACCAAATGATTGCATGCCGCAGTCTTGGATATGCAGGCGCCGTACGCACATCGGAAGGAGCCGCTGAGACAATGGGTGGCCTTACAAAGCTCAAGCGACTCATCCGATCCATCGCGACAGTTCACAACGCCATCACAGAGCTCAGCATAGGACAGGCATTCTTTTGACTCCCTGCACTGAAACTGGCTGTATGGCTGGATTCTGGAATATAGAAGAAAAGGAAAATCAATAAGCAACAAACGCGATCTCTCGACTAAAAAACACCGTGAGCGCACACCCACACACACTAACTCGCATTCACTCACCCACACACTCACATACCCAATATGAATCAAGGTTGGGCTCGCCTGAACTCATATTTGTTTGTTATACTCATTCAAGAAAGTGAAATGAGTATACTTTATACTCTGAATATTTGAGACCCTCGAATTGTGTGCCCACTAGGGGCAAATAGGAAAATGAATTTTCCGTTATACTAGAAATCATATTAGTTGAAGAGATCGAGAGCTGAAATTTGGAATTTATATTCACGTCTGCTTCTTTAGCGACTAGATTGTGGTTAGCATCGTCGATGCATTTGGCACAAAAGAATCGGAGAATGGGGAGTGAATGAGCATTCTGTCATCGGTGACGCCCGATTGCAACGCTCTTACTTGTTTTTCAATAGCTTACTCGCATTCGCCACGAATCCAGGAGTACAATGTATTTCCCTCACTACATTCGAAAACGTTCTCATCTGTGCCATCCCAGCAATCATTTTTCTTATCACAGATCTTGTTGCTATCGATGCAGCCGCCGTAGCTGCAACGAAGCTTGTCGCACTTGAAGTCGTGGCACGCCTCAAACGTCTCATCGCTTCCATCAGCACAGTTCTTATTGCCGTCGCACATCAGGGCATTGTCAATGCACTCGCCATCCTTGCACGCGAATTCGTTAGTTTGGCACTTGGACACTGCCACTTCTTCTGCATTGGCTGGAAATAATAAGAAATATTGAACATTTAATAATTAATATTGAATACTCAATAATTAATATTGAATATTTTTGACATTCTATTAAGTCAATGTCTTAAGGGTTGAGCCTATGAGCTTTTCTTTAATTACGATCACAAACTTTACACATATTTAAATATTTTAATGCCATTATGAAGCTCTGAATAATATGTTGGAAGGTGCTTCTGACAAAAGTATATTCATTTCTTCATTTCTCGTAGAAACAGTTCTAGGTAGAATCTCGTATTCAAGCACTCCCAACTCTTTATTAATACTAAGTAATTTATTTACTTAGTTAATTTAATTTTGTTTTTTTTTTTTTTTTACCACATTGCAGGCCAATTATCACTAGGCAAATCCCAAAGGCCTTCTTTTTGAATGAATGAAACATGGAATTCTCCTCGATATCGAGATGAGCACGAAATATTTCAATTATATAATTTGTCGACTTTTCGTGTCGAAGTCTGTTTGCGTACTGAATGGAAACAATGTTAGGTCTGCCAAAATTTTGCAAATTGTTATGTATATTTATTATATAATTATTATTATTTTTATTTTATTATGATTATAGGGGCGTTACCGCTTTGTTTGATTATCTGCACAATAACCAATATTCAGTTAAGCTGCCTTCGGTGTAGATTAATTAATATAAAAATTATTTTTTTATATATATTTTTTTTATTGTTTGTTTTATAGTAAATATTTGTATGTATTTGTCATTTATTATATTCAACATGTTCACCAGGAATTCATATTTACCAGCTTGAGCAGTCATATTTCGCTTCCTCTTAGATTCGTAATCGTTTTTGTGTTGTGTTTTGTCGTGTTTTTGTTATGTCTGCAAATTGAAAGGCGGCGTCGATCAAAGCCGTCAAAACATTCACACACTCGACTGGACACTCTTTCATTTTAAATTCATAGTTTTTTCAATTTATTTTTGCCATATATAGATTTTTTTTGTTTTTACTTCTTTTTATTTTGCCTTTTTGTTTGGCCAGCTTTGTTAGAAAATTGTTCAAAGCGAGTTTTTCGCACTTGAATGTTTCAATGCTCACTCGTTGCCTAGCCATTGATTAAAAAACTGGACTCACCATTCGAATTCAAATTAAAGGCAGCCCTTTTTAATTGAATAAAAGGGTGAACAAAAAACGAACAGAATGAGAAAAAAGAACAGCTCCAGTTTTTAGAACGATATGATCAGATTCCAGAGCTCCGATGCCAACGACACTTCAGTCGAGTGTGTTAAGCTGCAATCAGAGAACAAAGTCTATTATATTTTCATTTATTTTTTTTTTAAATAAAAGTCTGATAAGCAGAAGTGCTATGATTTACAGTATTCAGTTAAGGATAGAGGAAGCCCCAAGCTTTATGTAGTTGAACGTAATTCTTCTGACACGTGAATTTCTTTTGAATGCTAAGTAAAAATCATGTGGGGAAAAGTTTATTTTGATAATAGTTTGAGCATATGTCTGATGATATTTTTCTAGAGACTTTAAATTTCAAATGCATTTGTTTGTATTCTGACATTAGGCGGTTTTTCTCATTTTATTTCGCTTATTCTCTCGAGAATGACACCTCTAATCGACTCAAACGTTTCATGCAACAAATGCAGCTATGAATATACCAGAGATGAACTTTCCCAGGTATGCTTTAAAACTCACTCAGCGTTTGATTGGGTCCTATACAGAATTTTAATGACTGTTTCAGTTTGGTTCTAGTTCTAATTGCACTTGCAGCTGCTTTGTGTCTATGTTGGAATTAAATATTTGAAATAGAGTTACAAAGAGAGCGCAACCATTTAAAGTGTGTTTAGAATTTGAAGTGTGTATTGAGCCAAGGGAGAGCTGGGAATTGGGAGTTGCGAGTATTGTATTAAAAATTAAAATGTTTGCAGCACAGCAAAGGCAACGTTTGATGTTGCTGTGGGGGCAGACACATAGACCGTCCAGGGGGGCGGGGGTTGGTGGGTAGCGGCACAGTGATTGCTACAAAGAGTGCATAGAGTGACAATGGGATTGTTTGTAAATTGACAACAACAATATGCGCTGCTGTGATTCACGGCACGGCTAGCGACAACGAGAAGCGGCATTGCGCCAAAGGGGCGTATACGTTATATAGATTGACAAAAGCTGACACACGCTGAGAAATGAGCACAAATTGTATTGTCAGATTGTCGTTGTTAGCATTTCTTTTATTATCTGTAGCTGTAGCTATTACTTTCGTTGTTGTTGCTGTTGTTTACAGTCGAACTGTGTCAACAGCAACACAGTTTGTTAGTGATTTGCATTGGTGGCAAAACTACTGAAACAGCTGAACTATAAGAGTTTTAAGTTTCTAAAGGAACAAATGATTGAGCGTAAATAAAATAAAATGGATTTTCGCTTTGGGAATTTAGTGCATAGAGTTTAATAGTTTTCTCAGCGAAGAGCAGCAGAGTTTAATAAACAGAAACAAATAATTTATTATGTCATATAAATATATATATGGTATTCATATTTTATATTATATATGCATATGCATGATGAAGATGTTGAACCATTGCGTAATTAATAAAGCTCCAAACTCGCCGCGAGAACTTTCAGCCAGCCAAAATCTGTCGCCTCCTGCTTCGCTTAGTCAACGGCAGACGCTGCCCGAACGGAATCCACAACAAAATTTTGCGGCCACTACCAGAGAGGAAGGTCTTCAAAACTTTTAGCCAAAGTTTGCGGTCGACTGGGTTCGAGTAATATATATATAGATCTATATATATCTATTATACGGCCATATATATGTATATGTATGTATAGTGTGTAGCTGGCTCTTATCCAATTAAGTCATAACTCAATATGTGCTGAGAGATATGCACTTGGCCATTACTTAGGCAAAGGCAAAAATTTTGCTCTAATAACTTTGGAGCTGATGCTTTCTTCCGTCTACTTTTTGGTGGCGAGCAGATAATTTTCACACCCCTCCAGAGCCACATTCAGCAGCAGCACGTAGCAGTGTGGCAGCAGCGCAGCAGGAGGAGGGAGGACGGAGGACGGAGGACGGGCGGAGCAACAGCTATTCGGCTGCTTGGCATTGGCTTTTACGGCACCAGCGAGACGCTGCCACAACTCATTTGGCGTTGACCAGGACTATGTTGTTAGTTGCCCGCCAGCCCCCGCCCAGCTTCGGGCTCCTCGCCCGCCCTTGTGAGTGGCTGGCTGCTGCCTCAACTCCATCCATCTGCAGTTGAACGCGCGCATAAATTATTCATTTGTAATGTGCAGCAGCTCTCGTTGTCGGGCCACCGGAGGGTGCTGTGTGTGTGTGCGAGGGGGGAGTGGGTGAGTGGTGCACTTTTGGCACAGGATATGATACTGACACTCAACAACTACCCAGTGGAAACTGGTCTGGCAGGGGCGGCTCTTGGGCTGGGGCTGGGTCTGGGTCTGGGTCTGGGTCTGGTTCTGTGCTCTTGGCGTTTACTTTCGGTTTGTAATTTCCTTCTGGAGTTTGCGGCATCAAAAAGGAACGGCAGCCCAGCCGTGGTGAGAAACAGCAAGAAGTACACAGCAGAGCGGGAAGAGAGTACATTGCAAATGACGATTGCAACTGAACTGGGCAGCAACAAAGCCATCAGCAGCTCCCCAACCCCCTGCTGGTTTACCGCTGGCCTTTGGGGTAGCTGCGCTTGCAAACTTTAAAGTTTCTCTCGGATCTGCAGCTATGTGTCTATGTGTGTGTGTGTGAAAAGTTTCATTTGTGAATTGAAAAATTATTTCTAGTTTCATATGCAGAGTGTGTGTCATTTACACAGCCAAGACGAGAATGAGGAGGAGGCGAGGAGTGGAGTGGAGTGGAGTGGAGTGGAGCAACCCGACTAAGCCAAACAACTCAGCCAAGCAGCAACACCAGCAGCCATTGACAAAATGGAAAGTTGTTGACTTAGTTTCCGCTTCTTTGGGCCGCTTCTGTTGGCCCAGTGCTGCATGTGACTGTTGCAACCTGCAGCTGGCTTTGCATGTGGTAACATGCGTCTTCAACACTTTTTAATTATGTTCCTGCTTTGCTTAAATAGAAGCAATTCTACAAGTTTCTGCTGACTTTAAGCTGCACCCAACTACAGCGAAGAATGTTGTTAATATTTTTGGCATTTTTTCTACATTTTAGGTCAATTAAATAAATAATTGCTGAGTTAGCCCACATTTGCAAGGACCTGACAAGCAGCTTAAAGAAATTATCCATACAAATGGAATTAACATACGAAAGGGCTGAGCGCACGTAGCACCGTCCATTTGCTCCAAGTCCAAGCCGAGCTGCATGTGGCACGTGCGCACACGATGTTGCAGCTGGAATAAACTGAATTACATGAACTAATTAGGTATTTAGAGAGCAGACCTTATTGTCGGACATGTACGCAATGCTGGACCTGAAATATTAATTACTATATAATAGAAAGAGAGAGAGAGAGAGAGAGAGAGAGAGAGAGAGAGAGAGAAAATGCTGAACAAGAAATGCTGGAAATAGTTTTATAAAATTCTACTTAAAAGGTTTATTCATGTTGAAAGCTATCTTAATGGGTGCCGAAAATTAAATGAAAATAATTTATTGAAAGGAGAGGTTACGCATAAATCAACTGTAATACTGTAAATAAGTAAGAGAAAGTTAGAGATGTACTTCAAATATATTAATATAATATAGAAAAAGTTAAAAATGATTGATTTTTTACTTAGAATTCATTGAAGAGAATTTTCGTATACTTATTTCTGTATAAATTTACTTTATAATTATGTTTTTGTTTATATAACATTGTATATACAACAAGACAAAGTTTTCTTTCCATATTTAGCTTAGCTTAGGAAAAGAAAAGATTTACGTTGACAAAACGACGGAATGAACTCACCGCCCAATTCTTATTTTTGTTTTTATTCATGAAGAGTAATTCGGATGTCTTGAAAATCATCGTATGAGTTACAATTTTTCCTTTCTCTCTCTCTCTCTTTCCGTTATAGGAATACCCGAAATCGAAATCAGACTTGTAATTTGTCCTATACAAAACATATTGCCTAGCCAATGAAGAAAGACAGGTTGCTCTGAGAAGTGAGTTGCGTAATGCTCCTCTATGAATTTACTAAATATACATTTAAACATATACATTTCTATTTAAGTTTCCCTACTTATCTATGTCTATCATCCAATCAACTGAACAGGAGTCGGCATTGATATTACGACAAAAGTTACAAAAGTTTTTAATATGGTATTTGTTTAAAGGATCAATAAGTTGGGGACAGTTCTCATTTCTGTATAATTCTATTTGTTTATTGACAATATTTTAAGTATTTGGTTGTTAATGAAAGGAAGCTTGTAAATAATAACTTTTTCATATATGTATAACTGGCTGGGTTAATCTACGTAATAATAGAATTGACTGAATAATTAATTGACAACAAATTTATATTACAAAAAATTAAAAATATGACTTCATTAAATTTAAAGTTTGAAAGTAAATCCACAACGAATAGATCTTCAAATCCTACTCTATTCCTTGGGATCGCTAATTTCATTGATATTTCAGGCAGACTCTGCATCGCGAAAGAGCATTTTGTAGTCGCTTGTTTACCGATTGTTCCTACTTGTTGTTGTTGTTTTCGGACTAAAGTTGTTGTAATTTATTAAGCCAGCCGTGAATCTGACTGCATTTTACCGCAAAATTGTCAACAGGCAAGCCTCACGCACACACCCACAACCAGAGCCACACATACGCGCATGCCAAGAGCCGCAGACACGCACATGTGCTGAAAAAAAGCG